GATTGTTGAAGTCAGTAGTAGTAGTAGAAATAGTATCCTCTCTCTCACTCTATCTATATATATATATATATATATATATATTTGTTTTTTTACATACATCATTTCACACTTCCATGCTCTGTTGTTTTCACCATAAAGCTTTTTAATGACCACAAATGGATAGACACACCACTCTGCTTTGTTGGTTAGGGGTGTTGGTGAAGCAAAACTTTGTCACGTTGGGTGAAGAAAACAAAGATCTTTGGAGATAAAGGCACAGCCCTCTATTGGACATTGCCACTATTTTGACAAGTCCTTTTAAGCACTATTATAGTTCAAACTTACTCATTGCATAACTGCTTGATGTTAACTCCTAATCTACCATAAAGATCGACATTATTTTGGCTTCGAACATGTTTTGATAATGTTTGAGTTGGAAATTCGTTGTTTTGTGCTATATAGGTTTTCTTGGCAACCATGATAATTCAAGAGAAATCTAGAGAAATGCCTCCCTATTAGAGGCGCATTAAGATTTTTATTTTCTTTTTTAAATACTATAATATTCCTGCCACCTCTTTCTTATTACATTTCAACTTCAAAATGACAAAATTCTAAAAGAAACATACAAAAATAAAAAAGTGAGCCAGGGCGAGAGTTTTTGGACCCGTTTAGTACACTGATTTGAGTTTTTAATTCGAGTTGAGATGTAATTTTATGTGAGAGCTTTTTACTGTAGTAAAAAAGTTAGATGCGACTGTTTCTAAGAGCTTTTTACTGTAGCAAAACTCAAATTCTAAATTCGAATCGATAAAATGAATGAGGCATTTCTAATTTTCTCAAAATTCAATCGGCACAAGATCTAACATGTTTAAGAAAGAGAAAATGAGACGAATACTCTTTGGATGGCATGAGTCTGGATTTTTATCATTTATTCTTGATTAATACATTTCTTAGTTAAATAACTACATTAGTCAAAAGAGTACTAATCAAGAGTAAGAGATAAAAATCTAAACTCATGCACTTAAGGTAAGTTCAACATATAAAGAGCACAAATTTCAGCAATAAATATCTAAGTATTTGCACCAACTAGGGTTTGTACGCATTCCTTAAAAAATTTGGATCCTCTAGTGATACATTTTGTTGTTTTTTTTTTTTCCTAAAGAAATTTTGAGAAATCGGGACAAATTATCACCTAATTCAAAGAGGTAAGCAAACGACTTCACATGGATGAATTTGACCAGCCTCCAAAAATTCCATGTCCAAAACCGAATAATCCTATCACAAGAGCTTTGTGAAATAGGGGAGTTTATGCATGTGTTTCATGTTATTAGCATTATAGTGTTTAGCCAAAGCCCCTAGTCATGCAGCATTTGCTGCTAGCGGCTGAAAAATGGAGGACCCCAAAATTGCATTCAATTAGTGAGTCATGAATTCAACCCCACAAAAAAATAAAAATAAAAATAATAGATGAATCTTCAATCATGAATCATAATACATAATATTTGGAGTACATAAAGTCTAGATTGATAAATTTGGACCACTGAATCAAACCTACTTTCCTTCCTCCTGTTTTTAAACCTTGCAATTGGGAACAAGCATATATTGCAAGCTTCTTCTTTATGGTGATTTTGACTTCCAAACAATCTTTTTTTATACTCTCTATTTCTCTTTGGCTGGTCATATATATACAAAACCTGTTAATTTGAATTGACACGAGAGGTTTGTGCAGTAGTACAAACTGACCCACCACCATACTTTGGACCAAATATCCATTGCCAAAAAAAAACAATATAATCAAGTCGGCCGATTTGTATATTTCCACTACATGGTATGAAACATTGAGCTTTGAACTATTATTTCTTGCTAATTATGCTGAATTAAACTCCAATTCTAGTGACTAATGAAACTCCACTTTGTGGTTGATTGGCCGTGATTTGTTGTCTGTTTGTTGATGTACCAAAACTGTTATAAATGAGCAAGTATAGGACAGAACATGGTTTTTCTTAGCAATAAATGAATGGGGATAAGCACGTACATTTTAAGCATTGTAAAAGCTCAATCATGAAATGGACAATCCTAATCCGGTTCCTACAATTAAAGAAAAAAGGACATGCATCTTTAAAGTCTCTCCGAGACTTTTTCCTACGAGCCCATTTCTCACACGGCAGCTTCCTAACTCATATGGGAGATTTCTGAGTAAGCAAGCAAAGATATATGTTGGACTTTCCGGAGTTTGAAACTTTCAAATGCCAAACATCCCGACTCATGCGAATGAGGGCGGTGATGCCATGCGACGCGGACCACCTGCCTACTCCCCGAATTCAGAATATATCATGCTATGATAATAATGTTCATGGGAGCTTCTAAGTTGAGACCCTTTAAAAAACTCAACGGTAGAACACTCTGTCTGTTTTGACCGTTAAATTAAATTTTTAGTAGTTAGATCTGTACATGTTTATATTAAAAATTTACAGTGCGTCATACATAAATACTCTATTTATAGATCTGACTGTTAAAAATATAATTTAATGGTCAAAATAGAATGTTCCACTAGCAATTTTTTTAGGGAGTCTCACCGTAAAAAAAGCCTAATGCTCATATATCAACATCATTATATCTTCTTCTTTTTTTTTCTTTATGTTGTGCTCAAAATCTTCTCATTTGACTTGATGAGATTAACAATATATTTCTAGCAATCCTTAACAACCCACTATACGTGTGTACATGCATGTGTGTGTGTGTGTATATATATATATATATATATATATATAAATGAAGAGTGTAATAGGATCCCTGGCAGTTTAAATCTATATATTATTTACCACGCAATACCCACTAAATGAATATTGAAGACCACGCTACTTGCCGTACGCCCTCAATATCTCCACTATCCTTGTTGAAAATTTATTTGCCACACAATCCGGAAACCAGCTATTACTTCACAACAAAAACTGATTAGCTGGGGCACCGGATTGGATTAGAGAAAACTTAACCAAATCTTGTTTGACAATTTCTGGTGGGGGCCTACCAATACCGTGGAAAAAGACTAGAGAAAGTTTATTCTCTTTCCCAAGCATGAGTAAATGCACCAAATTATCGCTTGGGGAATAAGGTGATTTGTGTCTACTCTCTTGGTGAGAAAGGGGTGTTGAGGATCTCTGCATGATAGTGTGCAAGCCAGCCCATGTTGGGCTGCACAACCCACTAATAAAAGTGTCTATTCCAAGGCGGGTTTTTTGGTTTTTTTTGGTTTTTTTTTTTTTGAGGTGCTAATTACATAGAACTAAACCTGCTTTAATGGAAGTTGATGAGAGCTTAAAGGAAAAGGTTGCTTAATTTACCATTGCTAGCTTTTGTTCAAGATTTTTTTAGCCAGCATTAGGAACTACATTTTTGAAACAGATTAACGAGACAAAAATGATGTTTAAATTTTTGAATGAACAATGAGATGTTAAACTGAACTTTATAAAACCTAACCAAAATTTTAAGAATCTTTACTGGAGCATGCTATTTTGCTCCATCGGTGGAAACAATTATTTTCAACCGTTGGATTAATTCTTTAACAGTTATATTTAAATAAATTCGTATTAAAAATTTCCAGCACGCTATACAAAACTGCTCATATTTTAAATTTAACCGTTGAAAAATAATAATAAAAATACAGTTCTTATTAGTGGAGCAAAATATATTGCTCCACTGTAAAGACCACTGAAATTTATGCTTAAAAGAGCTCCCTTTTTTTTTTAGAAGCCAGATGCCTTAACCAGTACTAAACTGAAATAAACTTCAGGAAAACAATGGAAAATAGGTATTCCAATAGTAGGCAACAACCACTGGAAATTTGAAGTTCTGCTTGGATATTTCAACGCATTACTAAGACTGGCAATCCGGGTAGCGACACGACGACACGACTCGAAACCCGCACGAAGTTAGCGGGTTTTGATTTATTATAAATGAGTTTGAGTCATAATTGGGTTGACACGATTAATAAATTGATTGGGTTATAGTTGACCTCCTAACACGAAGTGACACGACTAACTATATGTGTCATCTGTAATCTAATAATATGTTATATAACATAAAAATTTATATGACATATTAAATACAAATAATGTGAATTTTAATATTTGTAAGTAAAATTCATTTATTTTTCTTAAAGGAAAAAATAAATTGATCAATAAACATATTAAATCTGTCTTGACTGTATTAAATAAGTAATTATTATATTAGTTATTTATTCAATATATTAATTTAAACGGATTATACGGGTTGACACGATTAATAAATAAGTTATATTTAAATTAATATTTTTAACACGTTTAATAAATATATCATATTTAAATTAATATTTTTTGATATATCATATTTAAATTAATATTTTTTTATATGATTAATAAATAAGTTAGTATGAACACGACTCACTGACAGTCACCCTTACGCATTAGGATGGGCATTGTTCTAATTGCGATATGAGATCTTTGTGGGTCAAAGACGTGCAGCTCAACTAAGCCCACAAAGGGAAGCAGTTTTTTTGAAGCCCAAGTAAGCAAAAACATCTTTGTCCAGTTATCCGAATCCATTATTTTGTACTTGGTTTTTGTCCACAAGCAATCTGTCTATTCATCACTGATATCACTTCTTTACAAAGTAGTTCGACTCCAATCACTCCATTATTTTGGACAAACTCGATCCCATTATTCATTATTTATTCAATAAGATCCCGTTTATTTCACCGATTTAAATTTAAAATTCAAATTTTATTACATTAAAAAACTCAGAAACAATATATTTAATTTTTTTTTACTACAGTAAAAAAACTCTTACATAAAATCACATATCAACTCTAATTAAAAACTCAAATAACTAATCGAGCTCTAAATTGTCTCCTTAATCATTATTAATCTCATACCACCGATATGTCTGACCTGTAACTGAATCTATATATAATCTATATAATAAATATATATTTATTTTTGTCAAGCGCCTTAGATCAATAATATGAATGATTGCCGAAACTAGAATGAACCAATTCTTATCATCACCCCGACAAGAAAAAGTATTGCTGACCCACATCTGACGAAGTTTGGCAGAGGCAAAAAAAAAAAAAGAAAAAATGCATGATAAATTACTAGGGCTGCTTCAAACTATGCCACTAATAATGGCCACAATGCCTAATACGAGCAGCAAATAAACTGAAACTCTTGAACCGCGTAGATATGAGAATGCTGATACTAACTTAACCTGCCAACTGTAGTTTTTTAACAAAACAAAAAGGGTAGAAAGGGCAAGAGAGAAAAAAAGAAAACAAAGGTGGCAAAGAGCACATATAATAAAATGAGAAAAGATTGCCAAAAAAACAAACTTAAAACCGGCACAAAACATCACAATGTTCTCCCCACGGGGTTAGTTCTTGCCAACCACCTCAGATTTTCAGTTGTTCCAAGCTCTGCACCGCTTCGGACCCTACTGAATCGTTTGTAGTTTTGTCTTCAGTTGCCTCTATATCATACGACGATTTATTCTGTAGAGTAGGAGCAACAACGGCAGCTGGAGGATCTTCTTTCCTAACGGCTACAAGATCATCTTTTCGGACGGTTACAGGATCATCTTTTCGGACTGCTACAGGCTCCTCTTTTTGGATGGCTACAGGATCTTCTTTTTGCACAGCTAAAGGATCTTCTTTTCGAACAATTGAAGAATCATCTCTTCGAACAGGTGGAGCAGCAAATACCGGCACAGCCTGCCTGATGGTGACTTGAGGAGCAATTCGTACTGGTGGCGCACGAATGACCTGATGGGGCACTGCAGCTGGTGGAGGAAGAGGAGGCGCAGAGTACACAGGCACAACGGTCCTCATTGTCACAGGTGGTGCCATGCCATGGCAAGATGCTCTCATTTGACGCATGGGAACAAAAGGAAGTGCTCCAACAGTAAGTGACCTCTGGTGACGGACCCCACGACCTTCTAACGGAGGCTGTGATGGTGTTACAGAACTGTCGCTAAATGCATTTGGCGGAAGTCTGTTTCTAGAAGCTGTCTTTTGACAAATTAAAGGAAGTATTTTTGATGTCGTAGCCAAGGGAGTTTGAGGACTGGTTGGTCTTGGGGGCTGCACTGGAAACTTCTTTGGAAATGGTATTGGGGAATTAGGATTTGCCATCTTTTCCTTCAACCGATAATTTAACAAAGCCCGAGCTATAGTGATCTGCTCCAACTCATCACTGTTCTCTGCCTCAGACGAACTTGCAGTTTCTTTTGCCACTGCCCAGAAAGAGAAACATGTCATTCAGATTTAAGCAAGAAGCCCCAAGTTTAAAATTTAAATTCTCTAAGTTACATGTCCAAATGGAACTGCAATGCTTCCATTAAATATATAAAAAAAAGGGGAAAATGATGGTTAAACCAAATGGAAAATGTAGATGCAGGATCATAGTTGGCCTTTATGTTAAGCCATTCATGCTTGAAAGTCTTGGACATACATTGTTTCAGAGACGACCAAGCTGCCATTGCAGCATTCTTTTCCGCTTGTTTCTTATTCTTTGCAGGTTCTCCTGTGAAAGTGATTCCTGCCAGTTCTACAGTCCCTGTAAATACAGGTAGGTGTCCAAGGCCTGACCTGTATGTTGTATATTGGGGCAACGGAGCTCCAACTCTTTGAGCTATTTCCTGTAAGAGGTTTTTGTACACCCCTGTCTCATCCTGATAGTAATAACAAAAAAAAGTGAACCGTAATCAGTATTCAGACAACACTATTAATAAAAAGCCTCAAATATTTGACGTGCAAAAAATTTAAAAAAAAAAAAAAAACAAATGATCTATATCCCAGAAACTATATCAGCCTTCATTCTTCCTAATTCCTATACCGGTCCAAGAAAAAGAAACTTCTTACATTAGTCCAAGAAGGAGGATGATCAGAAAAACTGTCATAAACAGAAAAAATGCTTCTAAGGGTAGGAAAAGGGTGAAAACAATACATGGTTTGCATGTTTATGATCGCCCGATACCTTCAAAAGAGTTTCCCACAAGGCAAATTAATACATGAATTTAAATGGGTGTATATAAACATGAATATAGAAAAGTAGTAGGTAAATGAGTACACACAAAAATTCACACTGCCTCAAGTTTTTCACCCGGCAGCCAGGATGTTTCCTCATGCTTTTGAATCAAGTAACAGTATCAATTGTGAAAATCTAACGAACAAATCCATCAATGAAGTAGAACTGGAGAAGGCAAGGATACAACCAACCAACCAAGATGTTGATACAAGGCCTAAGATATTGTAATTGATTAGGCTTTAGGTAAAAGTTGAATTAATATGCTTAAACATCAACCTTATTTATTATCCCCGCTCACCAAAATCACCAAATCACAAAAAAAAAAAAATGTTCCTAGTAGACTCATGTTTGAAAATTAATTATATTTCCAATCACCAGACTCCAGACCCAACATTATCAAGACATAATCCACTAGGTACTAAATCTACTATATATACCTACATGTCACTCTATTTCAACGAAGTTTCTTTCAGTTTCTATCCAGCGACAAAGAAAAATCAAAATAGAATAAAAGAAAGTAAAATAACAACGGCAAACTTCCATGTAAGTTCTAGTTAATGCAGAACCAACGCGCTTATGACCCAAAATACCACTCATTTCGAGCAAATTTATTGCCCGCAATATAATCAGAATCTGATGATCACAGCTGGTGGGGAGACATTAAAGACAAGACAAAACCCAGATAGGATCCACTTAAGGAACATCCAGAAGTTTAGTTTCCCTTTTCTTCAGTTAGAAAAATCCCATTTCTTTCTAATAGCAAGGGCATTTCGGTCATTCCATAAAACTCACCACCTACCTACGACCTTCGTGACTTTCAAAGCGAGTCTCACCGGAGATCCGAATCTCCGGCGATCACAGAAGCTCCGGCGCGGCTCACATTAGCAAACAAAATATAAATTATAAATAATAATTTAATTCAATTTTTCAATTTGAAAAAAAAAGTTTAATTTTTTGTTTCTATTTTCTTCCAGCTGTGAAAATTAGTTGAAGGCATTGATCGATCACGGCAGAGAAGATGAAAAGATCGAAAAGAACGAAGAAGTGAACAAAATAGAGAGGGATATCTAGTAGAAAAACCCTAAGTAACTGAACCCTAGGAGAGTCAAGAGAGAGAAAGAGAACTGACGAGGATCCTCGCGGCGAGGGAGTGAGAGGGGCCACGGTTGGAAAGAGAGTTTAGGGCGACCTCGGCGGCGGAGTGTTCGGCCTGGCGGAGAGTTGAGCAGTAGTGAGGGCTCTCGAAGGTCTCGCCGTTGAAGTTGACGGTGGCCTTGAACCTCGGCGCGTGGTCCGGACCTTCTCTAATGCACGTGTACGACGGCAAGTTGAAGCAGCTCCTCTGCGCCAGCTCTTGAAGCTGGTTCTTGTACATTTCTACCTTCCGATTCTCTTCTCTCCCCTCTCTCTCTATCTCTCTACCACACCTTTCTCTCTCCTCTTTTCCTCAAGCTAAGCTCGACCGGAAAATGAGTTTCTCGGAAAACCAGAACAACTCCATCTCAGATCGGATCATAGGGAGGACGTGCTAGGGTCGGAACCCTGCCGGAAACAGGTCTTGAGAGGCTAGCTTCTTGTCCGGTCGCCGGCCGGAGAAAATGGCGGAGGTCCGACGGAGATCAGGCGGTTTTAGGGTTTGTTTCGGAGCTTGGAGAAAGAGAAAGTGAGGTTTTAGAGAGAGAAGATGAGGTTGTGTCCGGTGTGAAGCTGAAAAAGCCGAATACAGAGAGAAAGAGGAGAGAGGAAAAAAAAGGTTGAATTAATGAAGAGAAAGGGTAAAAAATTTTTGGCAGTGGGAATTTTTCTTTTCTTTTCTTTTCTTATGGGGAAAAGGAAAAGAAAAATTATTTTTTTAATGGAAATTTATTAATTGCTTTATTGCTGGGAGTCAACTGGACGTTAGGCCGCTGCATGGATGTGATCTTTTCCTAGATTTTCTAAATTTCTTTTTCCTTTTTGTTTGTTTGTTTTCTTTTTTAAAAAATAAAATAAAATTGTGCATCTGTCTAATTTTCTTTTCTTTTTTTTTTTTTTCCCTCTCCCTAATTTCGCTCAAGTACTGTGTATTTTTTTGTACTTTAATTTTCTATCCCGCAAGACAACTCTTCCCGCCCCAACTATTTCTCTTTTTAACAGCATGACTCCTTTTTCTTTTTCCCAATAGGGAAGAAAAAAAATTATAATTTGCGCAAGAAAAAAAAAGAGTTTCGAAAGAACACCACAACAACGATAGAGATGTTTATGAGGATTACGGTGTTTTCTTCCGTAAGATTAATGAGACGTTTGGTTTATACATTTAGAATTATGATTCAGAATTATTCTCATTTTACGTGTATTTTTTATGAGAGAAAATACTGTAACGAATCACGAACTATGATTCAAATCATGGTACGAATCTCCATTCTAAACGTATGCTAAGGGTGCTCGCGATCCGTCTGAACAGTTTTTTTAAAAAATTATTAATTAAATTAAAAATAATTTTTTATTTTAGACGGGTTGATATTTTTAATAAAAATTAAATTGAACGAAATTACTCATAAACGGTTTGTGTGGTTTGAGTTTAAAACTAAAATAATTTTTAATAATTCATTAAAACTATAAAATCATTAATCCATAAAAATAATAATAATATTTAAGTTTACAATATAACTCAAAAATAATACATGTATAAAAGTTCACAATTTAAAGTTTTAATACAAACAATAAAAATATGATATGGTGTATTTTATAAGTGCGAAACTTAAAATAAACATAAAAATATTTAAAAGTTCAAAAAATTATATATGTATATTTTTGTGCGGATTATGAAAAAAATTTTAATTTGCGCAAGAAAAAAAAAAAAAAGAGTTTCGAACGTACACCACAACAATGATAGAGATGTTTATGAGGATTATGGTGTTTTCTTCAACAAGGTTACAAGAAAATGGTGTTTATGAAAAATTAAATCATAGTTAGATTTGGAGCTGATTTTAAATGACAATACTAGGCCAAACGTAAATGTATAAAAAAATTATTTTATTAGAATAAAAAATAACTTTATTATTTGGGTGAAAAAGAAATATTACAGCACATAGTTTTGAACTCACAGAGTTTCATAAATTATGCAAGATTTTGCACCTTTTTTATTTCATATTATTATTATTATGAAATGCACAACATTACCAAAACATTCTCAAAATATATACCTCTTTTTTAAAAGGAAAACAAAATAACAAAAATGATTTATGGGTTGTTTAGTTAAAGGATTCGTACTCCGATTTAAATTATAGTTCATAATTTTTTATAGTATTTTTTCTCATAAAAATACACGTAAATCAAAATAATTATAATTTTATGATTCTAATCCATAAACTAAACGTCTCTTTAGTTAAATATTGCACCTCACACTAAAATAAATAAAGCAAATATTGCTCATTAGCAAAAAAATAAAAATAAAACAAATATTGCTGTTGAGACAGCAGTCGGAATGTACCGATGGGATATTATTCCTCTTCCAAATACCGACAAAAAACTAAAATAAAATAAAATAAAACAAAAATAAAAAACAGAAAAAAATCATGTTTTGGGTGGTAATTTTACAAGTTGGAGAACACTGCGAAAATATACACCGCTTAATTCAATGCAACCATTTTAAGCAAAAAAAAAAAAAAAAAAAAAAAAAAAAAATTTAAAAAAA